TTGAGTTAACGAACTTAGCCTTGATATCTCCGGATATGATTTTTTCTCGAATGAAATGACAATCAACTTTAATGTGCTTGGTTCTCACATGGAAGACAGGGTTAGAGCTAATATGGAGAGCAGCTTGATTATCACATATAAGTGTCATGTGAGTGACATCTCCAAATTTTAATTCATTAAGCAATTGTTTAAGCCACACAAGCTCACAAGTAGCTGATGCCATAGCTCTATATTCTGCTTCTGCATTGGACCTTGCCACAACACTTTGCTTCTTACTTTTCCAAGATATCAGGTTGTCACCAATAGAGACACAATATCCAGAAGTAGACCTCCTATAAGAAGGGGAACCAGCCCAATCAGCATCTGAATAGCAAACGATTTTTGTATCGTTGTTAGGACCATATAGCAAACTTTTTCCAAGTGATCCTTTAATATACTTCAATATGCAAACTACTGCATCCCAATGATCTTCACATGGAGAGTTTAGAAATTGACTCACCACACTAACTGCGAAGGAAATGTCAGGACGTGTAACAATAAGATAGTTTAATTTACCAACTAATCTTCTGTATCGTTCAGGATCTGAGAAAGGCTCCCCCTGATTTGGTAGGAGTTTGATGTTAGGATCCATAGGTGTCTCAACAGATTTACAGTTCATTAACCCTGTTTCCTCCAAGATGTCTAACGCATACTTCCTCTGAGATATGGCAATACCAGCATTGGATTGTGCTACTTCAATACCCAAAAAGTACCGGAGTTTGCCAAGATCTTTGGTTTGAAAATGGTGACAAAGGTGCTGTTTCATCTGAGAGATGCCAAGATAGTCGCTTCCTGTGAGAACAATGTCATCAACATACACTATTAAGTAGATACATCCAGCACTTGAGTGGCGATAGAACACTGAATGATCCGCTTCACTACGAGACATACCAAATTGTTGAACAACACAGCTGAATTTACCAAACCAGGCCCGAGGAGACTGTTTTAGGCCATATAAGGATTTGCGAAGACGACATACCAATCCAGATGACTCCTCCTGAGCAACAAAGCTAGGTGGTTGCTCCATATAAATTTCTTCATGCAAATCACCATTAAGGAAAGCATTTTTTACATCAAGTTGGTAAAGAGGCCATTGTCGAAGAGCGGTCATGGCAATGAATAGGCGAACAGAGGTCATTTTTGCCACTAGAGAAAAAGTATCACCATAATCCAAACCAAAAATATGTGTGTAGCCTTTGGCAACCAGTCGAGCTTTCAGACGATCAATTGTGCTATCAGGGCCAACCTTGATAGCATACACCTACCTGCAACCAACAACAGACTTTCCAGATGGTAATTGGACAAGCTCCCAAGTTCCACTTTTCTGTAAAGCACTTAATTCATCCAGCATAGCTTGACGCCAGACAGGATGAGTTAAGGCATCACCAACAGAATTAGAAAATGACACAGAAGAAATGGATGAGAGACAAGTGTAAAAAGATGGAGATAATCTGTGGTAACTAAGAACAGTATAATGGGGGGAAGGGTTACAGGTAGAGCGTATACCTTTACGGAGGGCAATAGGCATGTTAGACTCATTTGCTGGAGCTGGAAGAGACACAGGAGGAGGCACTGGAAGTGAGTCATGAGGGAGACAATTGTGGCGACTATAAACCCGAAGGGGTGGTGGTGAAGGACGATCCTGTGGTGAATGAGAGTCTAAAGAAGGAGGAGACAAAATGGGTGGAGCATCACTAGGAGGATCACAGATAATAGGAATATCAACAGTAGGAAGTAGAGGTACAGAACTAGAAGATAGATGTGAAAAGTAAAAAGAAGATTCATCAAAAGTGACATCTAGACCCAAAAACTCTAAGGTAATGGATGTAGAGGGTCTTGAGGAAATAAGATAGAGTGAGGGATTTTGTGATCTAGGATGGAAGATGGCATGCGGACGCCCGTTGTGAGACACACGGTGATTGGAGAGGTGGATCAGAATTATTAGAAAGTGGGTTTAAGCCTAACTCAACCGCACAAAACCGACTTGTAAGGTGAGGTTTGCATCTCACTTATATATTATATTTTGGCCTTATCTCTAGTCGATGTGGGACTTTCAACATACCCCCTTCACGCCGAGGTATAGACATCTCGTACGTGATAGTAGAAATTGGGTGGTCCGATAACGGCCCGATAGCGGGTGGAATAGAAAAATAGAATGCCCACATAGAACTCGCTAGGATAGTATCGACAACTTATTATTATTGTCTGATGTCAGCCAACGAAGGATAATTTCTTTGTCCTCATCTCTACCATAAAAAACATCATCAGCAGCCACCAACGATGAGGATTCATATTTTCTCTCTAACACTCTACTAAGCAATTCGGATCCAACACCATTAGAAATTTTGAAATCTTGAACGATCTTTTGTTTCAAAAGAGATTTTACATCATATAGGACTTCTTTCATCTTGGATTCGAAACTGCTTACCTTGCTAGCACTAGACTGAATGTTAGCTTTCAACTCACTTTTGGAGAATTCATAATCTATTTGCTCCAACAGATCCTCTGCATCATACAAGGCGTCTCTGACCTCATCAAGCAATTCTTTGACCAATGAATTAGTGAACTGCTTTTGTTCTGCATCATCAATCACAGCATTGACGTCCATCAGCTTCCTCTTCAACTTCTTCAGCAGCTTCTCATCGAGATCTCTCCCACGAAAGTAGCCGACAACTTGATGAGAATCCAGCTTGTCAAATAGCACCTGAAGAACAGCACCAAAAAGAGCACCGCCAAGTGTTTCAAGGACTGGCATGGTTGAAAGGAAAGTGGCCAAATCAAAGAGAAGAAAGGATTGTGAAAAATTGGAGTGAAGGTAAAGCAGAGTTAACGTGAGATCTATTTTCTTCGCAATGACTTTTCTTCATTTCGCTCACTCTTCTTAACAACACAAATACGATAACGTGCATAAATGAGTTCAGTTTAGATAAGGTTTAATCCTTTTCGACATCCCTATTTATGTACGAATGTCTCAATTGGGTCCTCGTTTTTTAAAGTGTATCAAAATGGTCCTTAATTTTGAAAATTGATATCAATTGAGTCCTTTCCGTTAAGTTGGGTGGACGAGCGTTCGTTCGCTGGTGGACGAGCGTCCGTTCGTCATCTCAGCATCCACTCATCAATTTTTTTAACGCCGTCCACCCAACTTAACGGAAAGGACTCAATTGATATCGATTTTCAAAATTAAGGACCATTTTGATACACTTTAAAAATTAACTCTCAGATATATTTGAATACATATCATAATTCGCTTACATACAAGAAAACAAAATTAGAGAACTCAACAACAATAAAATTATGATGATACTTTTATTAACTTATTTAACATGATAAATAATTAAATATCTTAATAAAAGCTTCATAGTATTTTTTGTTTTAAAAAAAATATAATTTAAAAAAATATTTATAACAAATCATATTGCAATCATTTTTAGGATTTATTATTAACAAGCGTGATTTCTGGATAAAAAAGATATATTAATCAAGATTGATAATTGCAACTATATTCAGGATTTGATTAGAATGGGGAATAAAATATTGGATCATAGGATACTTGTTCAAATTGTAATTGCATCCATATATAATTTAAATCCTAAATACTTATCAATTAATGATTTTATCTGATCAGAAAAATTACTTAATTAATCAAAATTAAAAAATATTTATAAAGTTAAATATAATTTTAAATACATATATTTAAAAAAAATTTAATGGTGTAATATCTTCAATGGATCTGTTGCGAAGAAGGCAGAGACAAAGGACCACTCTACAAAAAGTGATGGACCGTACATAGAAAAGTGGATGCAAAACAAAATTTGGAAGAAAGATAGTGTTATTCAAATCCATTCATATCTTCGATTAGACTGGTTTATAATATATGCTTTAGAATTGTTCATAAATTAAAAAATTACTCATGTAAATAATTATCTTTAACTTAAAAAATTTTAACCTAAAAAACTTATTTAAAAATAATATTTTTACTTTTTTTAATAACTTTCATTTAAGATGTTCTTAAGTTGTAAGTTTTAGAAAATGATACTTTCAGGAAGATTTATAGAAAGTTATTCCCTTTAGCCTCAGATGGAGTGATGAAAATGACAGAAAGAGAAAAGAAAAAGTAAAAATTGTGATTATTTAAAATCAGACCAAAAGATTGAAAAAAAAAACTGAGATATTATAATAATTTTATTTATTATTTTAGAATTATTTATTATTATAATAATAATAAAGTATAATCAATGTCTTTAAAATTAACCTATATATATATATATATTAATAAAAATAATAAATTTGGTTATATAAATTTTCATGTCATAAAATTATAATTTGGGAATCGCTTTACTTTTAAAATAAAAAAAGTATGACTTAAGTGATAATACATATTGAGTAATAATAACAAAAAATTACTAATTTTGTCCCTAAAAGAACTAATTTTTAACTTTCTTAACAGGAGAGACTCATATAATTGTAATTTAAACTTTTTGGGACCTGAATAATGTTTTATCTTATGATCATTTGAACCAGTGAAATTAATTAGAATGTATGTCCGTCTGTTTTATTTTGTAGAATCAAACTAACAGGGATATATTATTATTAAATATAATTAAAAAAAGTTATGTTAATTATAAACATCTCAGTTGACATCCTAAAAGACATTTATCATTTGTAATTACAAAAACAATATTATTAAAAAAAGCAAGAAACTTTTATTTAAATATGACTTTACAGTTATAGAAATTAATAATTTTCAACCAGACGACATGAAAGTATAAAAGAAACTTTTATCCTATCAAAGCATTCCAGTTAAATTTATTTAATCAAGTTTCCCAGTAAGGTTTTGTTTTATTAGTCTTTTCTAACAAGTTATTGATCAAATTTATGACATAAATCCTTATAAGAGTTTATTGATTAAGAACTAAATTAAGCCTTTTATGGAAACACATCCACTGAAAAAAATCATGGACCACAAAAAGATGAATTCATTTCACTGGAAAACCAGAAAAAAGCATTAACACAACCATTTTTTTCAAGAGAAAAAACTACATAGGAGGAGATGTAACAAACTGCCTAGGAACACTGAACAAGTCCTTCCCAGCAAAAGGAGTGGTCCACTCTCTCAATCCAGCAGATGATGAACTTTCCCTATTCATGCCAACATTTTGCAATCCACTCATGCAGGGACTGCTTCTCCTATTTCCATAACTGTTTCTCAACAATGAAGAGATCCCTAGACAAGCTCCACCTGAAGAAGATTGCACATTCAAACTCCAATCTATGCTGGTATAGTCAAACTCTGGCATCAACCCCCCAGTGTTCCAATCCATGTGTGGATGTGAGCTGAATGTTCTGGCTGCATTATGATGACCGGAAAACAGTCCAAGGGAAGTCGGCACCGCGAGTGCAGGCAACGGCGGCACGTTCATGCTCCATGAACCGTGATGCCGAGGAGGAATCGAAGGTGAAGGTGTTGATGATGCACCCATTGGCTTGCAGAAACCACCCACCCCAGCAGATGAGTAATCTACTGGTCCAAAGAAATGAGAATATTCTTTGTAAGGTGCTTGGCAAAATTGCTCCAAATGATTTGGACTGATACTTCTTACACTTTGAGTTTGTAGTAACTTCCCATTTGACCTAACATTTTCAACACCTGGAATACTATTTACATACCACCCTGCAGCTCCTGAAGGAAAGGAATTTAAAGAAACCATAGAGTTTTGTTTGGCATTTGTGAATTGTGGATGTTGCATCATTACTGGTTCCCTTCCTAGTCCTTGTTGAGTCATTCTTCCTTCGTTTGCAACACCAATAGGCATGCCAGCCTCCATTTTGATCAATGGAGACACTGCCTGCATGGATGGTGCCATGGCTAACATGGCAGAAGAAGGGCTTGATCCTGGAACACCACTCCACCTTCTCTCCCTGGTGAAATTCGGATGATTCGGTTGCAGAGACTGTACATTCCCGGTTTCAAGATCAGGGAACATAGAGTCAGAACCACCATCCTTGCTGTAATGGTTGAAGTCACTTTCACTCTCTCTCTGCTGCATGGAAACAGACTCTGCTGGCAATCCTTGTGATCTCATACTGTTCTGACCAGAATCTTCAGACTTAGATTGGGTACCATGCTGCTCCTGCTTCTGAGTTTTTAAGGTATTTTCTGCCTTTTGAAGATCACCTTCATAAGCAACAATTGCTCTCTCAACCTCTTGCTTTGAACAATTGTACTTGACTTCCAAGGCAGATATCTGAGCAAGCTCATCAGTTATGTCAATTTTCAGATTACCCTCACTCACAAGGCTGGTAGTATCCTTAGTTTGTGATTGTTCTTCATTTGCTTCAAATAGCCAAGATACTGATTGCTCCAATTTTCCATCGTTTAACATTAAGGCCAGTGTTGCTCGTTCAGAAGAGAACCCCATTGCCACCAGGAGCTGTGCAAGTGATTCTAGTTTCTTTGACATCAGATAGCCACAACATCGGTTATGCAGTTCTTGAGCTCTCCTTTCCCTCTGTCTCTGGTGCTTCCTCTCATTCTTCAACCGGATTTTCTCCCTCCTGTCACTATCACAACCAGGTACACTATCAGGCCGTGTAGAAGAGTTCGTTACTGCTACCTTCTCTTTAGACTCTTCTGACTCACCAGAGCAGCTGCCATTGATAGAAACTGAATCACTCTCCGACACGGCTCCTTGGGGACTACTAGAATGCTCATCTGCATCCTCTACTTTCGTGAAATGACCGGTGTCATGAACTCGAATAGAGGAAGCAACCAATAATGTTTCTGGAAATGTTCCCAAGATCGGATTTTGTGGACTGGCAGGAACACCACTTCCATGAGTAGGAGAGACAGAAGTCTTTGGAGAAGTCTTATGTTGTTCCTTACCAGCCCTTGAAGAGGCTTTCTCCTGGGACTTGGATTTTGATTTCACTGATGGAGACATTCTATTGGTTGCTGTACTTGTCTGCATTGTATATAGACAAAAATGAAATTGATTCAGTCTTCATTTTACATGAACAAAAACAATCAAACACTACAATTATAACAGAATTATGTAGGAAAATTCATCATTTCAATAAGCAAATCACGAATAGTTGGATCAAAGCAGCAAGGTATTGAAGTCTGATGCTAAATTAATCATGGCAATTAACCAGGCATTGAATAAAAATTGCTACATGAAGTTCCAATGTCGACATGGATCTATAACCCTTTTGCAATTATCATTGTTTGTTAACACATTTGTAGTGTCTAAATGGTTGCATTGCACCAAGTTAACAGGCAAAATTGTGCACAAATTAATGAATTGAAATTAAAAACTAACGGGTAGAATTGCAACACATTTCATCTCCAAACTAAATGAATGAATGAAAAATTAGCTGTCCCTGAACCCAACCACCATGGACGATGCCCAATGACATTGTATGCCATAACTTCCTATGGAAAAAACTTTTTAAAAATCACAAAAAAATCATCCATTTTTTATTCAGAAATAATGAAATTAAAGATGAACATACATATTTCAAAAAACTGAAGAACCTTTGAGAACAAAAAGCATGGGAATTGAACACCATGAGAAAGTTAAAATATGCAAGATCGTTATTAAAACTAATCCATTGATAGATCACAACTAACATAGAATTCCCAGAACTAATGTCAGAACCCATTTCTACTTGGCAAAGGAACCTTGCCAACAATAAATGAAAACATGTTCTTAAGGGGGATAAAGTGTGTAATCGACATCATAGGAATTGCATCCATTTCTTAGACACCAATTTCACCAGCTTGGATAAAATTATTCCAAGCATCAATCAAATCCAATCAATAAGGGAAAACAAAAACAGAAATCTTGAACACAAGCTTTTCAAACAATTTAAAATCTCTAAAAAATTATCAAAATGAGGTAGGCACAAACAATTTTCCTATTCCACCCCACCAAAAACAAGCATCACTTCCATAATTGGGAACTTTTCACAGAAGAAATGGTTTCAGACCCATCAGAATAAAATCCTAAAGATCCAACCTTTACCCCAACCCATCATCACAGAAAACATTCAAAACCATATAAATTCAGATTGTAGACTTTAAACCAGTAACCAACGAGATTTACTGAAACTCAATTAAAAGTTAAATTCCCAGAAAACAAAGAACAACCCACATCCATGGGTGATTCAAGAGGAAGAATAGAAGAAAGAAACTCACCTATGAACCACACAACAGAGCCTCTGAAGATGAATGGCGTTTCTGTGTTGGTTTGTTTCTCCTTATTCTTTCTCTCCCTTTTTTTCTGTTTTTGATTTTGCTGTGTATTCTAATAATATAAAGTAGTTTCCCCTTTTTCCTTCTTACAAAATATATTTATCATTTATTTTCTTTTTCATTTTAGCCACACGGCACTTTCCCTGTGTCTTTCTGGCCATGTTTGATGAAAAATAATGTATAATTAACTACCATGTTTGGATCACAGTTTTTTCATCGTTAGAAAGGAAAATTACTAAAACAATAAAGATTAAAATAGAATTTCCCACCCCTTTATAGCACTTTGCTTTTAGATTAAAGTAATCATTCCATTAATATAATAATATTTCTTACAGTTGATTACTTGTCATTAAATTGATTAAACTAGTTTATAACTAATGAATTTAATTCGAGAGATACTTTAAATGTCAAAATGACATTTTCTTAAAATAATTTTTTCATTGAGATAGAAACTAAACTTCTTATGATTGATTAAGAGATAATAAAATAGAATGACTCAATGAACATGCGAACTAAACTTTAACTAAAAAGACAAAAGTGCTTTCCCTTTCGTTAACAAAGGAAAGGGACAAACAAGTGTTTTTCAATGTTTTGGATCCCACGAACATGACTTACGTTTAACGTCATCAATTTTTTTTATTTGATTATGTTCCTCTTTCCAATGACACCCTTACCTTAACTATCTCTTTCATGTCCATTTTCAACAAGCTATCACCAACTTTTGTATATAATATTTTAATTGAAGTTAGATTACATTAGTTATTAAACTAAAAATTTTAATTCAATAACTCAGTTGTATACAATAGTTTTACCAATTTAAATACCGATATGTCAATTTGAGTTATATATATATATATATATGTATATATATATATATATATGTATATATATATATATATATATGTATATATATATATGTATTTCTTTATCAAAAAGTATTTAATCTATAATAATATAATAATAATAATTTATAATTTTTATTTTAATAATTTTTAATAGATATAATTAATTTAAACTCATATAACAATAATATATATTTATCATACTTTTTAAAAAAATTATATGTTTTTCAATAAACATATATTAGACATTATATATTTTCAAAATAAATCAAATACGTGTATTTTATCCATATATTATAAGTTTCGCTGTATTAATATAATTAATATGGAGAATACTATAGTAAATTTTATTGTGAAACAATAACGGGTATTATATTATATATAGCCCAGTGAAAGGAAAAAAAAGTGTTTATGGTACGGTCGAGATTCCTTATTTAAAGTTGGGCGCTCTATTTGTTATTTTACGCTCTTTCTTTTCTTCTATTTTTTCTAATGCTTAAATTACTTACTTTACGTAATAATCTTAAAATAAGAATTACTAATCAGAGTTAATTAGCTTTCTCTTATCATAGTTATATTTATAAATATTAATCACTAATAAATGACTATTATTTTACTTAATTGCCCATTAATTATTACTATTGTTCAGATTAATTATCAATGATTGTTCTAGATCAGTCAGTCATTTCCTTGCTGGATGGTCGACCGCTCGATCCTTGGCTGATCGGGTGGCCATACAATACACGAGGGCCCCAAACCTAAACAAGCTCTTTATTGGACGAGGTGCGGGATTATTGTGAACTTTAATAGAGGTTGTTCGCATTGTATTAGGTCTGTTTTCTATGCGCTTTAAGTCTTTGTTCTTCTTTGTTTTACTCGATCGATAAGCTCCAGGAGTTTACTGGGAACATTCCTTAGACCATATAAAAGACGATGCAATGAGAGTTTTCTTTGGAAATTCATAACTAATCAGTGAGCTCTAGGAGTCTTAGAACTTTCCTAGGTTGAAGGATTGATCCGATGACAAATTACTCCTTATCGGTCAGTAAGCTCTAGGAGTCTCGGGACTTTCCTAGGCTGAAGAAATGATCCGGTGGAAGATCGCTCCTCACGGTCGACGAGCTCTAGGTTGACCAAGTAGTTTATATGTAGGGTCTTTTCATTTGTTTTCCCAAGCATTTATACATCCAGGACAATAATATAAGGATGTGCATCATCTGCAACAACAATAATATAAGGATGTGAAACCCTCCTAAACCACTGTATGTACCCATCGCCGTAGTCAAAAGGGGATGTTGCATGTCTCACATTACTCACAACGTGATGTGTGTAGTGCAACAAGGCATCATCAATGACGACTATATCTGCATCTGTAACGGTAGTGGGTGATCATGGAATGTCTTGGTGAAACCAAAACTTCCTCAAGACACGCTCAGGCAAATGACAGCAAAGGGTATATCACCAATCCGAATCCATCCAGAATACATACATATGTCGAAGAATGGACAAATGCCCCAATGTCCCTCATACAAATGCCAAATAACTGCACTGTATGTGAGGGCATCCAATTGTGACGGAATATCTTCAATAGTGGAACTCTACCTAGGGCTTTGCCACTTAGCGACTTGTAAGGGAAGAAGACACCAACTTCCTCCTTCCCATGTCAGGAAAATGCTCGTATATCCAACTCTAAAAAAATAATTATTGAATTAAATATCTTTCATCTTCGAACATGGAAAGAAGTACATGAAATAAATGTGGAAGGTATAAGTATACGTGTAACAGAGTTAAATCTCTGGCCATTTACCTCATGGAAGCCAGACTCGCATCCCCAAGCTGCTCGTATAAATGAACGAGTGCAGCAGCACACCAGGCATATTTGTCATATGCGTGTATGTCTCTAAATAATAGTAAGTAAGACACGCATATAGAAACGACACTCTTATTTGCAAATAGTGCATCCAACTAGATGTAATAGATATGTTCTCACATCATAGTCTCACTGCTATGATTCACACCTCTCAACATAGATCTCTCTGAGCCAGCTGAGCCTGACTTTTGGACCACGTGACTTCTCCATCTCAGCACGAGCCCTGCCATGATCAACGCCAAGCAAGTCCACAAGGGCTATACAAGCCTCCTCAAACTCCAACTCCTCCAAATCACACAACTATCTCAACATTGGGAGGTGAAGTAATGTTGAGACTTCATCAAGAGTAACCGACATCTCTCCTACAGAGAAATGGAAACTATTGGTCTCGAAATGCCATCTCTATGAATCCAAGGAATAAGCCCTTATCGGCGTAATCATAGGAAATCTGTGTGAGAGGCAGAAAAGTGGAATTCAACACAGTGTGTTGAATTCTCTCGTGACATTCTCCTAACTTATTTACGTTTTTTACCGTGGGAGATCAACTTCAACATCTCCCCTTGATCCTACACAACAATATTTAATATAAATTATATTGGAAAAAACAATAATTAAAATTTAAGTTTTGCACTCACCCGACCTTGCAAAATATCATAAGCGACATGTTGAACATAGTGCGCCAATAATGAAGCATCACGTGAACCTCCAACAAATCCACCGACATCCTCTTCTATGTCAGGAACATCTGCATTTTCCTCCTCCTTAACATCGTCGTCAGTGACCTCAATGAATGAACAGGAGCCTCATAGGCCTCATATGTCTCTCCTCAAAGGCTCGCTCATCAACAATATGATCATCCTCAATAGAAGCTACGTGCTTCTCCGAGCAAAAACAGTAAGTCTTCTCCTAACCTCGCCCTGCGCAGAACTCTTTTCTCGAGAACTCGCATCTCGAGAACTAATTAATGATGCACAGCGTGTTCTTGCCATTTCTAAAAAGTCAAATTATTACATAAAGCAAAATCACATAAAATATTGTTTGAAATATAATTAGTAAACTATAAAAAAAATATCAAATTAAAAAAATTAAACTAATAATAATTAATTTATTAACTTCAATAAAATTAAATAAAATAAACAATTACGCTAATTAATTCTAAAAAAATTTAAAAATTAATTTCACAATTTATTAACTATAAAAAAATAAAATAAAATAAAATTACATAAATAATTACAAAAAAGTTTACTAACAGTTAACATTCAATATAATAATATTTAATTCAATAAATTTGAAAAGTTTAAATATATCAAATATGTACTTCATTTAAATATATAAAACTTAAACAATTCATTTCAAAAATAAAAATTGAAAACTTTATAAAATAATAAATTAATAAACTAAAACGTTAAAATATATTTTATGAATAACTATAAAAAAAATTAAAATAATTAAGGAAAATATTCGTTGAACGTTTAACATATATCCATATCCGTAGATCGACGTTGATATTAAAATATATTTTAAAAACAAAATTGTGATAATAGATTTAGATCTTGGACAATATATTAGATATATTAATGATATTATCTTAACGAACTTAGGATCTAAACCATATTCAATAATCTCACTTGTTTAAAAATAAAAACTAACGACAATTTAAATGAATATTTCTCCTTACGTGGGTTACAAGTTTTACAAATTTCAAAGTAAACAATCTTTTCAAAAAGATAATTATAACTCTAAAAATGCTATTTCATTATACTTGAAATCAAAAGAATCTGATGTCTTAATTCATTTAACGAATGTGCTGAGAAAATTGTCTTTCTCCTTTATTTTTTGAACGAATCAGATTTTTCTCAATAAATTTGCAATTTTGATTTTAGGGCTTCTTACCGTGAGAATTTGAATGTTTTCCCTAAATTTACTTGTATATTGATTCCTTAATCATTTTCTTAACTTAAGTTCTTTTTGTCAAATAAAACAATAAAGGATAAAGATGGAATACATTACACATTTTAATTACAAAGTTTTGTATTAAACTAAGGTAAAAAAAATATAATCTTAAATAATTCCATTCGATTCTCTTAATCATGATTTATATCATGAAATTTATACCATGAACTTTTATAAATATATAGATATCATAATTTCCGCAATGGTATTATGATTTTAAAAATTTTAAATTTTCAATCGTAATTGTGGCATCTCGGGGTGTGGCTCTTTTGTATCAGAGTTAGGTTTTTGAAAAACTTTTAGGGCTTTTGGTGAGTGAGTTTGTCTAACTTTTGTTGTAAGACTTTAAGGCATGTGTAAGTGTATGATTGTATGGAATGCATGTGTATGTATATGTATGACTGTGTGGAT